TACATAGGACTCCTCTCTGTGATAACTCACCTTCTCCAGCTCATCCTCGAAAGTACCACGAACTCTGTAACTCTACCCCTCATGGGTTCTAACTGGATACTCTCACTCATCACATACTTAAAACATAACACATATAACAATGAGTCCTAGGCTAAGGCATCACAAATCAGGCCACTCTAGTCCTAACATATGAAATACCTAGCCTGTCTCTAGCATGCAATAATATCTCATAAAGTGCATCATACATATCTCATAACACAAAAATAAGGGTATTTTGGGAAATCACCGTTCGGGCTCTGGCTGATTGTACACACTGCTCCTTCTTGCTTTCTCTTTGAACTCTTATTCACTTTTAGAAAATTATTTCTTTAAAAACTTTTCGTACTTCCTCAGTTTGAGTCCAGATTTACCCGAAGGCGCATCCGAATCCCTCAAACCAAGGCTCTGATACCAACTTGTAACACCGTAAATTTCAAGACAAATTTTCATTTAAAATAATCATTTTACTCTTAGAAACACTTGTTTAAAATCTTATTCATAGTCGATTTACAAAACATAACTCCATTTTCACTTGCATAGAAAACCAAGATCCTCCAAAATATGACTCTTTCTCTGGTGTGTACAATCAAGCCGGTGCCGTCCCGTGATACTGAAAGAAACCTGTAAAACATCAAACAAAACACTGTAAGCACGAAGCTTAGTGAGTTCCCCAAAATACCACACATAACACATATTAGCCACTCGAGGCTATAACTCTGTGGGTCCGTGCACCCAAACTCTGTGAACCCTCAGGTTCTAACTCTGGGAACCTTCCGGTTCCAACTCTATAAACATGCACAACATAAATCACATAGAAATAATGCAGTACAACACATCACGTACATATAGCATACAAATACTCTAATCACATAACTCTGGTTACCTACTCAAGGTAAAGTATAGTGAGAAGACTCACCTGGCAAGCAGAAAGCAGATATCCCCACACTTGAATCTCGAACTCGCCACCGCCTAACACGTAAGGCAAATACTCTCATGAATATAACTCTCGAGGCTAGAATAAATCCTCTCATAACACCCTCTTATGGGTAAAAGACTATTTTACCTCTCTCTTGGCCCAAAGGCCACATCGCTGTCCAAACCCTAAAACTCAACGGCCAACCCTTGGTCGAAATCAAAGTCCTCAGTCTAGGTCAACCCTTGACTGACTCTACTCGCCGAGTCAACCCTGTGACTCGTCGAGTTCCCATAATCAGAACTTCCCCATATCGCGACTCAACTCGTCGAGTCACCACGAGACTCGCCGAGTCCCACAACTCTGAGTCCACTCACACCCAACTCACCGAGTCATCCCTTGACTCACCGATTCTCGACTCAACCAGGAAATATTTGGGACTCTTCGTCAAGACTCGTCGAGTCCAAGAACAGACTCGCCGAGTCTACGGCTATCTTCAACCTACTCGCCGAGTTGTTCATACAACTCGCCGAGTTCCAGGCCATCTTCATCCAACTCGTCGAGTCCACCCATGTGACTCGCCGAGTACCGCCGGTCTGAATACATTCCGAAGCATTCCAGGCCATGCAACTGCTCCAAGACATAGATCTAGCCTCCTACCACTCATCCATCACGTAAAGTGGCAAACTTTACGTGAATCCAAAGAGATCTAAGCCGTTTGCACATTGGGGCTAGGGTTTGGGACATGCAAGCTTCACTAAACACTCCAACACAGGGACTTTCATGCTCTCTGATTCTTCTCCCTTCCAGATCTGAGGTAGCAACCTCAGATCTAACCTCTAGACTTCCCATTTCATCCATAGACAATTTCTCACAAACCCCAAAATGAAGAAACAACATAATCAACAGGTCAAAAACGAGATACTACCTCTAAGTGATGCCCCAACTGCAATGCAATTCGAATCCAAGCAAAGCCCCTTGCTCCAAGCCTTCAATCTTCCCAAAATTCCTTCAACCATTACTTCTCCAAGCTCCAATCCACTCAAAAATGGTGCTTCTCCGCGATTTAGGGTTTTCTGGGGCTCAAGGGGTGATAAAGAGGCTGGGAGGAAGACATAATGATCATTATATAAGGCTCAACCCCGAGAATTAGGGTTTTCTCCACTCAGCGCCTACTCGCCGAGTCCAATACACTGACTCGCCGAGTCGGCCACTTAACACGCGACCAAGTCGCGACTCTACTCGCCGAGTCCACACATGGACTCGCCGAGTCGCTCTTTCCCAATTTACTCTTTTAGCCCTTCAACTCTACTCTTGATATTTCGAGATGTTACAGTATTTGCTTGTTGTGTTGATGTTAAGTAGTATCATCTATCCCGTATTAATTTTTTAGTAGGCTAAACATGAAAATCAAGTAATCATCACGTTAGTGGTAACTAAAACTTCAAAGAAAAGACTCACCAATATAGGATTGCAATCCTTCAAATCTCTTGACCATTATCCCCTATCCACTATAACTTTTGATTCAATGTGAATAGACAATTGTAATGTAGCTTTTTTGAGGTACATGATGTAATTTTTCAGATAGAAGATGTGATAATGTTTTCTCAGTATCTAAATAATATAGTTATTCTAATGGAAGAGAAAAATGAGAGTTTAGTTTATATTTTTTTTCAAGAATGAAAAATGATTTGGATGTTGAAAAACACTTGTCAAAGTGGAAAAGGACATCCCTTTGATCATAGAAAGTGATATTGAATTAGTGATATAACATGGTCAGAAACTCTAAGTACACACCACTAATTTCACGTTTGAAGCGAATCCAAAAGGATAGTTGTAACTTTGACATTATTAGGGTGATGTGAAAAAACGATTTAAATAACAATTTAAGTAATATGATATTTTGAAAATTTAAGCATGTTTTAAATTTATATTTATGAGAAAGGTATAGTAGTCGATTGGTCAAAATATAATTTAAAATTGTTAAAGCGTGTTTAAATAGGTTAAAAAAGATTTTGACAAATCGACAATTTGAACATCGATAATAAATAAATAAAATATTAAAAAATTAGGTTGATCAAATACAATATTATAATATGTTCTTCCTAACTTTTTAATCAAATTTTGTTTTACTTCATAATATCGTAACTACATGATTTTCATGTGGACCTTTTATTAGGTCTTCCACTAATAAGGCTATTAAATTCATTAGCTTACTCATTTGTGCAAACTTGATTATGACTAAAAATATATAAAAAAGAAGTAAAAAATCACAAGGCTCTAAAAAGTCGTATTTTTCAACAAGCTTTGTAAAATCATTTAACATCTATCAAGATTACAAAAATCGCCCCAATTATTTATAGCTCTATTTATCCTACCCAAAATAAAATCTACACCTTCAATGAAACAAAGAATAAGCCAACATAAAATAAAAATCCAAACAAACTAGTATTACAAATTAACTCAACTCAAAAATCAAAACCCCATAAGAGCAACTAATAAATTAGATCAAATTATTATTAATGATGTTACAAACTTTTACAATTGCAGACACTCCACAAGAAATTCATATTCTTCTAGGCTATTACTTCAAGAATCCTTCAAATCAAGAACAATATACAAGTCTTATAACTTCTTGATGTACAAATCATCTTATCAGAATTATACTTTAATTTGAGCATCAATGTCACAAAATATCATCATAAGCAACAATTTCCCTACCTCTTATTGGAAGATTCAGACCTTTTCTTCTTCCACTACTGCTCTCAATCGCATTGTTGATGGTTGTGTTACCATCTTTCTTTTCATCTCTGGAGTTCACAATCACAGACCCAAGCTTGTTCCCTCTTCCATGTCTGCTAAGTGGCAACTCTGGTTTCAATAGCTTTGATGACGATGAATAAGCTTCTTTCTTCTTAACCCCTTCTCTCCATTGTGGCACTGGATCAGTCGCCCACATCACTTCCACCTACAACATTACAGCATCGTTCATTTAGTTTTCTATCAAAATCTGATATTTTGTGAGATTATAAACCTAATTGATGAAGATATTCATTCTAGTCAACGGATCTCCTTTTCGCACATAATTTTTTCTGTAAAAAAGTAAATTTATGTGAATTTCTAATCGAATGAGTGAATTTGAGAGTTACCCGAGCGGAATGGAGAGTGATGCCGAAGGAAGGATCAAGTGAAGCGGCGATGGCGGATTCAGCAGAATCTCTTGAACGAAAGGTGATGTTGGCGACACCTCCGGAATCCATGCGTGTTCGGGAAATCGATCCGTAGATCTCGAATCTGGACTTGAGGTCAAGGACGGAGCAGTTGGAGGAAAGGCCAGTGACGACGACTGCAGTGTTGGTGTTACCGGAGGATGTTGGTTTGTCTTGAAAGTAGTCATCGCCGTCGGTTGCCGGATCGGAAGGGAGAGGGCGGCGGCGTTTGGGGAAGTTGTAGGGCGTGTGGCGGGAGAAATAGGGTTTATCTCTCTTTCTGTTATTCATGGTGCGTTTGTGAGTTGTGGTTTGGTGGTAGGATGAAAATCGGGGCTATTTTCAAGCCAAGTTATTGAATTATTCTTTTCTGATTTATATATCATATTAAATGTATTGGAAAATATATTTTAAAGATATAATTAATTAATGACAAATTTTCATAATTCGTCCTTATATTAAAAGTACTTTTAAGGCACAACTATGAGAAATGTTTCATATTTGTTCTCATGGTTTTAAACTGTTTCAATTTCTTTTAGACTTAATTTAATATTTTCTTTAACCAATTTAATTTAATAACAATAATAATAATAAAATTGAACCCATTCACTATCTTCTTCAATCTTTGACCACCTTTCTCATCATTCTTTCTACATAAGTTCATAACATCAATTGACAACTCTATAATAGGGATGAGCATCAGAACCGGGTACCCGCTTTTGGAACTGGAACCGCCTTGGAACTGCCGGTTCTGGAACTGGAACTGCCTTAAGCGGTTCCAGTTCCAATTCTCATTTTTTTGGAACCGCTACCCGCTGGGTACCCGCCGAAACCGGTTTATATATATATATATATATATATATATATATATATATATATATATATATATATTGGTATTTCATATAAATATGTGTGTATTACTTAGACCGGTTTAGAATATATTATGTCCCTTTTTGGTCCGGATTGATTCGATTTGGATCGAACTAAGTTGCGGTTTTATCGAAAAAAGTTAAAAAAGTTAATGTAACTGGGTTACCCGCTCCCGGAACCGGAACCGCCGGTTCCGGGACTGGATCCAAAAATTTAAGAACCGCCTAGACCGGTTCCGGTTCCGGTTCCGGTTCCGGTTCCGGTTCTCGCCAAATGAGGCGGGTACCCGCCTATGCTCATCCCTACTCTATAACCCTTCTCTATCTCCCGACAACTCTATAACCCTTCTCTATCTCCCGTTACTGCTCTTATCCATCATCACTCCTATCACAACCTTAACCTTTGTCGATAAGTTCCTATTTTGGTTTCACTCATTTGTCAATATTAAGTTAATATGGTTGTTGGTCACAACTCTTTTCATGTTGGTAGATATGATTTGAGATCACTTCTCTCGTCTAGCGACGAAACCCACATGGACATACTATATTTGTCGACACATTTCTTTCCATACATGGGTCTTGAAAAATTTATCAAAGCTAATACACTATTTAAGAGAGGTAGAACAACGAAAATAACATAAAAGGATAATCTAACAAAGTTATGAGTCGCTTGATAGTTACTAATTGAGTTAGTACTGACCGGGTTAGAACTTCTGACCGAATCCACATCTGACTGAAACCATGTTGTTTGATTATATCTCTGATTGACTGTGTTGAATGATACAAAATGACCATATTACCCTTATATAGCAAAATTTGTTTTCATCAAGTATTCATTTATTTTTAACACCAATAAAGACGTCAATATCATTGTACTTTTAATTAAAAAAATTATATTTATAATAATATTTTTCATTAAAGATTTTGTATTGTAGTATTCAAATGTAATTGTGCTAAAAATACGACAAAAAAACCCAAGTTTCTTTTAAAGTAAAATATTTCTTTTCTTTATTTTAAGAATTTTGTATTTTAACTCGTCAACTTCTACATACTTCCATCTTTCTGTACCTTCATCTTTTAAGTTTTCAAGATCATTTCACCGATTCTTTTTCTTACTTTAGATAAGTTTCTATGATGACTTAAAATCTTTGTACCTTTGGAAATCCATTTGGGATTTGTGGATTTAGCTTCAAGAAAATGGCACCAAGTTATGTCGTAGTCACAATAGAAAAAACAAGCAACATCTCGTTAGTAGAAATCGGTGAGTCACAAACATCTGCGTTTCTTGAAAGGCAAGAAATAGCAAGCACGAAACAGTTTTCATGGTTGCTTTTAATCAAAGCTGAAATAATCCTCTTTTTCTTTCCATGGTTAGCAATGGGGGTTTCAAGACTTTTGTTTCTGTTTAAAGCCGCATTGATTTATCACATTCAATCAAATATAATGTCAAATATAAAGAGAGGATTGTGAAGGAGTCGATCAATCAAGAATTCCCAAATCGCAAATGACAATTCCCATGTTTCAATTTTCCTTACTTTTACTTTATGTTACTGTAATTTCTGTAGATCAAACATTCAAACCCAAAAACTATAAACGATAGCCTTCTTCAACGGTTTGGCCTATTGTATTTTTGCCTAATGAAGTCGTTCTTGGGAGGCGCTAAAGTGAAGTCTCGTTCAAGGGAAAATTTGTGAATTTGATGCAAAGGACTAAGTCAGCGTTATTTTTTTGAGGACCCAGTCAGGCCATTCACTACCCATCAACTGGCCGAGTAAGAGTATAAACATTGGTATCAAACGGCCTGACTCGGACCGAGTCAGGTAAAAGCTCTGATCGGACCCAATCATAATGAAATCAAACACCCCCTTAATATACTATTTAAGAGAGGTCGAACAAAGAAAATAACATAAGGATAATAAATAAAAGAAAGGTTTACTATGTTACAGGATTTTAAAAGGAAAATTATACTAAAGTCCATACATATTGGCCTCATAATCGATTTAACAATTATATATTTTTTTTATTCAATTAAATCTCAAATACCGGTAATCGTATTCAATTTACCCCTTTGACCCGGTCAACAGGTCATCCAACTTTCAAAAATTACATTTTCGGCCCAGATTTCAAATTTTATTACAAATTTGGTCCAAATTTTACATTTTTGGCCCAGATTTCAAATTTTTTTACAAATTTGGTTCAAAATTTACACTTTTTGCCCAAATTTTAGATTTTTATTATGAATTCATCCTAACTTTAGTGTTTTTTACAACTTTTTTTCTCAAAAGTTTGTTTCTAATATGTTTTTTCTTTAAAACTCATATTTATACAAAAAAAAAAAACACATTTTCACATAAAAATCATATCTTTTTCTATATAAAAACTTTTTTTAAAAACTTTTTTGTATATGAAATATCTAATTATAAAAATAGGTTTTGATTATTTGTGTGATTTCTCTTAAAAAATCAATTAAGAATTTAAAAGTAACCCTAAATTATACTATTAAATTATAGTTTGTCAAAAACTAGTTACACTAGTTACCCTAACTTATACTATTAATATGGTAAGGCATGTGGAAGATATGGTGGATAACCTATTGACCCATGTTCAAATCCTGGCACCACTCAGCCCTTGTGGCCATGGAGGTTCGCCTGCAGTGACTCCAGGGCATGAGGCAAAGCTTTATGTTTGCAGCGGGGGATTAGTCGGTGCGCGAAAGCTGGCCCGGAAACCCTCGTTAGGGAAGTTCCCTTTCCAAAAAAAAAAATGGATATTTTAATATCTGTTATATTTAGTGTGTATTCTTTTTTTTTCTATGAGATTTTAATATAGTTGTTTATATGTATTTTTCAATCTGTTGCATCTTCGTAAATTAAATAATACATTCGATCACATATATATGACAAAAGGTATGTAAAGTTGTTCTAATCTCATATATGACAATCCATATTGATTTTAGTAGGAGTTGTAACTATCAACGTTTGTAATACTTTTTTACATTTGTTAAATGCCATTTTCTGCCAAAAACCTCCTTGTCGACAAATGACAATTGCTCCATTCTAGATAGTTATTTTTTGTTATTACAACAAACAAAATTGACACATGAATCTGATTTTACAAAGAAGTTTAAATAAAGAAATCCAAAGTGATGATGAACTATATATATGAACATGTATTCAGCGAGAAACAAAAAATATGAAGTTTTCAATATGTAGCATCTTCTATTATTTAAACTTTTCCTATAAATGTGATTAAAGAAAAAATAAATAATATTAAAATGAGTGTAACTAGTTTTTGACAAACTATAATTTAATAGGATAATTTATGCTTACTTTTAATTTCTTAATTGATTTTTTAAGAGAAATCACACAAATAATCCTAACTTGTTTTTATAATTAGATATTTCATATACAAAAAAGTTTTTTAAAAAAGTTTTTATATAGAAAAAATAAGATTTTTATGTGAAAATATATTTTTTTGTATAAATATGAGTTTTAAAGGAAAAACATATTAGAAACAAACATTTGAGAAAAAAGTTGTACAAAAAACTAAAGTTATGATGAATTCATAATAAAAATCCTAAAATTTGGGCAAAAAGGGTAAATTTTGGATCAAATTTGTAAAAAAATTTAAAATATGGGCCAAAAATGTAAATTTTGGACCAAATTTGTAATCAATTTTGAAATCTGGGCCGAAAATGTAATTTTTGAAAGTTTGATGACCTGTTGACCGGGTCAAAGGGTTAAATTGAATACGATTACCGGTATTTGGGACTTAATTGAATAAAAAAAATATATAAAGACTAAATCAATTATGAGGCCAATATGTAGGGAGTTTATTGCAGTTTTCGTGGATTTTAAATTGACCATAAAATTTAAGATTTCAAAATTTATGTTTTCTAAATCATCTATCTTTTAATTTTGTACATGGTTTCATAAATTGTGTATTTAATTCAATAGAAATTTCAACCCATTTAAAATTTATATCATGTCCATTTTAGGAATCGATGTGTGACAATTGAGAAATTTCTATCAACAATTACCACTAGAGACAAATGATAGCAATAGAGCTTTTCATATTTCGAAAAAAAATTTGATCATATATTCTATGATTTATAAGTAAGAAAAATGTTAATATGATAAAAAAAAATGAGTGACCAAACAATTATATAATTATTAATAATGGTTAGTATATTCGAAAAGTACACAGATCCCAATAATATAAACTTTGTAAAACTCTTACTCCGTGGAGGAGTTCTGATTTAAAAAAAAAAAAAAAAAAAAAAATCAACCGCATTAATAATGTAATCAACGTCAAAATAATATACAAAAATCGGTTGAGTTTTAGCTAAAATCATTAAAAGGAAACTTAGAGTACTATGAGAGATAAAAAATAAGGTTAAAAATAGAGTTCGTATAAAGAAGATATGATTTTTGGAAAAATATAAAATACTAGTTAAAAATAAAAGTTAAAATTTGACAACACAATCTTAAGT